CGCGGTTGGCTGGGGGACCAACACATGGAAGGCAGGACATAGAGCGGGGCCGCGAAGTAAGTCTGGCCTTGAGGCGAGCCTTCCGATCACAGCTGGTTCATAGAACGGCGGAGAGAAGGGCTTCCACGGATGTCGATCCCTCGGTCACAGGAACAGCCCACCTAGCGCGCTCAGGACGATGGAAGACTACTCACGTCGTAGTGTGGTGGATTTGCCTGGGGACACAAGGATTGATATGGTAGTGGGGTGCGTGTAGACAGATGGAACGAACCTGACTCGCTCTGACCGAGAAGCAGAAGGCGGACGATCTTCTGTTTCTTGCGCTGCTGTTTCTCCTGGCGAATGGCCTCGTCTATGGCATGGCTGACGCGCTTTGCGGCCTCCTCGTCGGCTAAGCGGGAAGCCTTCTCCTCCTCTGTCTCGTCTATGGGCGGTCTGAGGGCTGCGGCGAGCGGGTCGCGGTCTGGGGGTTCGCGGGAGGCGGGCATGGAGAGCGGGGGTGCGCGCGGAGGAGATGGCGGGGACGCGAGGGGAAGAAGGAGGGAGGAGGAGATGCGGAGAGCGAAAAGATGACAGACATATGAACGCTCGCTGCAACGAAATCCGGGCGAGCAGGCGCCTATGTCGCGACCGTAGCACAGGCGCCCAGCGCGTCGTCGTCCGACCTTGGCGGCTCTGTGGAATTTCACCTTGTCCCAAACTCTCTCCAGTTCCAATCAACACCGCCTGTCTTCCCGCTGCCCTGCGCATACACCCACCACCACATGCTCGTCCCCACCCCATCTTCGTGCCCTGCTCCGACTCGCCCGTGGCCTGTCGCCATATGATGCCCGCCTCGCCCCCTCGCTACCCCCGACGCAGCCAGACGCAGTCCCGGCGAGCAGCCATCGCCAGGCGGCCATGCTGCTCAGAACCTTGCCCATCCGCTGATCGTCTCTGATTGCCCCGTCTGAAGGGTCCATGTGAGAGCCATGTACGTGCGTGTGTCCGGCATCCTCCCCTTCTTCCGCCACCACCCCAGCTGCGAAGGTTATCACCCGTAAGCCGCCTCACGGAAGCCGTGCCTGTGAGTCAGGCACAGAAGCACCGCGCAAACCTTGCTCTGGCCCTGTTCCGGCCACTGGACTTCCTCGGGCGCGGCTGGTTCGCCATGAGGCCGTCCAGGGACCCCGTGTAGTCAACGTCAAGTTCAGCCAGAAGAACCTCACTCACAGCTTCTTGTCAAAAGTCCCCACGAAGACGACTCCGGCTGGCAATGCAAAAGCTCCCAGCGTTCACTGGATGGACACCTCCCTGCTAAGTACAATCGACTTATGAACGTTACGTCCGCACCCTTCCCCAATCAGTATAGGTTATACTTACTGGAGTATCACTCTGGCGCATGCTGATAGAAGATGTTTATTTACCCTAGTAAGCATGGCTACCTGGCGCAATGGTAGCGCGTTTGGCTTCGATCGCCACACGGCTACAATATGGCACCAAAAGGTTGCAGGTTCGAGTCCTGCGGTGGTCATTCTTTTTTCCTCTCCTTCTGATTCTCTGTGGTCTACAGAGCTTCGACGAACGAGGAGAGACCTTTTTGGCAGATTTTAGAGCCCAAAACTCGAGCCAGGACGCGCGGAACAGTGGAAGCGCCGGCGCTGGGGGTTCAAGCACTGAGCGCGACGCGTCGAGAACACGTCTGTGGCTGAATGATGTTCGAGTCGCTGTCTCGCGTCGTCTACAACGTCTCATTGTACTCTGCACGCGTAGCGCGTCGGCAGTTGTCGCACATCGACCTATTATCTCTGCTTGCCGCTCGGGAGACCTTGTCGTGATCCTGGCGGCAGGTTCGAGTCCTCATTTTTGTCTGTTCATGCAAGTTCATGAGACCTTTTTGCACCCTTAAGCACCGTTTCTGCACGACCAGTCCCCCGACAGGGATTCTGTAGGAAGAGCAAGGAATTACGTCCGGATTGTAGGGATCACAGCAGAAAATTTGCTTAGCCTCTGGGCCGCAATATTAATGTTGCCGTATCGCTACGCGTTGAGTCCCCATGGGCAGACACATTCACGTTGAGGCACAGGTACTGAAACCGTGGTTACAATGACAGTACAGACCCCGAGGAATCCAGACGATGAAGTCAAAGTCAGCGAGGCAGACGCAGTAAGCACCATCAAACCATGTGGACGTGTACAGACTGAGCCCCTGGTGTTCCCATCATCCCCAAGCTATCCCCTTATGCTTGTGAACTGCACTCTAGAGCTTCGTGGGGCGTACGTAACTCGCCGTCGAGGAAATGAAGATACGATGGCTGTGACTGCGACGTATGGATGCCCACAAAAGCCTCGTGCTCGATGCGCAGTTTGCGTCTTTCACAGAGCGGACGAGCCGGATGGCGGGACAGAACAACTCACTTGCGGTCGACGGCTGGCGTACGAAGACAGCGGAGCCGGGGGTCCCAACGAATCAAGGGAGGGAGCCCTGGAAGACAAGATACTCAGCACGGATAGACCCTCACGCAACACGTGTAACTACGCTCATACACATCGCCCCTGGGCCTGAGTGAGGCGTACTCTACAATGTGCGTCAGTGAACAATCACTACAAGGACCGATACGCCGAACCAACAGACGCACGCCTTCACTCCCGTACTTCACCTGCAAATCACGATGCGAACCGCTCATCGCAGAAGCCAGCACTTACGTCCTCAGGGCCCTCAGATTCCTGGATTCCACCGCCGCGGGCCACATTTATCAGCCAGTGGCACATTTCGACGGGTCAGAGGACCAGCACGCCCGAACAGAGCGGCTGAGGGTAGAGACTGCCGCCTGAGACACCGCCCACCACTTCATATCGCCCAGGGTTCGTTGTGCACGGCTCAAGCAGCTGCGCTTCCGATAGAGTGCGAGACAGTGCCATTGCGCGCCTTCAGACAGCGTTCGCAACAGCACGTTTCCGCTAAACAATACATTCCGGTTTGATTTTGACTTCTCGTACGGACAGGACCCCTGATGTACAGCACGAGCCGGTACTGAGCCAGCCCGCACGGTCCCACACGCCCATGATTTTCTCCGGTGTTGGAACCTGAAGGGAGTCGTCCGGTGTTGGAACCGAAGGACTGCGGTGTTGGAACCGAGGACTGGTCTGGAGATGGAACTAGACCGATGCGCGGTGTTGGAACCGGAGCCACGTCCGATGTTGGAACCAGAGTCGGCTTCGGCGTTGAAGCCGGGACAAAGGCCGACGATCAGAACAGCCAGGGCCCGACTACAAAAGAAACAAGTGAATTGAAGTAATCAGCCATGAGGGGCCGTGAGCAATAGCGGCGAGACGCACCTCTCCCTCGCTCCCCTTCCGGCTTGATCTGCAAACAGCTCTGGTGGATGAGATTGAGAGCCTTGACGGCGTCGCGCCCGTCGATGACGCACGAGATGTTGATCTCATTCGCGCCTTGGCTGATCATCTCGATGTTCACGTTGCCCTGGCCGAGCGTGGTGAACATGCGCCCGGAGATACCGATCATGTTGCGCATCGACTTCCCGACTAGCGAGAGAATGGCCATGTCGCGGGCCACGGAGACCTGCAAGCGACCATGATGACATTCAGTATTTGCCGAACAGCACATCCGGAACGAGATAGTGTGAAAGAGAAGAAATGGGGTACGCACCGTGCCGATCTTCTTGAGTTCCCGCACGACGCGGTCCAGGACCTTTTTGTCGAGGTTCTCCTCGATCGCCATACTGACGTACACCTCACTGGTACTGATGAGGTCCACGACGACACCGTACCGGTCGAGCGTGCCGAAGATGGAAGCAAGGAATCCATGAGAGACGTTCTTCCGGTTCGAGTTGACGTTGAGAACAATGATGTGCTCCTTTATTGTCACGGCCGTCGGTTGCCGGAACTGACTGAATTTGTCGGAGGCCGGCGAGGTGAGGGGCAGGAAGACCTTCGAGGTGGACGTCGTAGGGATGACAGGCGGGAACCCGTCCGTCCCATTGGGCAGGGCGCCGCCGTCAACCTCAGGATCCGGATGGATGACAGTGCCACCGCCCTTGGGGTTCTCGACATTCTTAATACGGATGGGAATTCTTCGCCGGATGACCTGCGCATGGTCCTGTAAGCTCCAGACCGCCCATGCCATCCGCCCACACAGATACCACGCTGGAATTCGTACCTGGTCCATAGTGAATGGGTGCACGACCTCGCTGCCGTAGTACGTCAACTCAGCGGCCTCTTCTGGGGAAATGATCGGGATCAGCCTCGCGGTGGGGACCTTACGAGGGTCCGCGGTGAAAATTCCGTCAACCTCCTTCCAGATTTGTAGTTCTGAGGCACCAAGCCCGGCGGCCAGGAGAGCTGCCAGAAGGTCGGTGTATCCACGTCCAACCTGCCTGAGAAGAGAACCAGGCACAGGCCCAAAGAACCCTAGGAGAGCCGTAAGCATAGTGGATACACGCAATTCGACGTGCGAGCATACCAGTAACAACGGGCACTCGGTTACCACACTGTTTGATCCTCTCCGCCACAAGCTCTGCAACGCGGTCGTAGAAATCTTGCCCAAGGGTGTCCGAGTCTGAGAAACTCTCAGACTCGGCGAGGGGAATTATGTTCTCTAAGCTGACGAACTCCGCATCTACATTCTGGAGGTGGTACGTTCAGATAGGCAACGAGAGGCCCGATAGCATACACTCACTCTATCCCGGAGAATAGCTGTCATAACCTTGCATCCAAGACGTTCGCCGAAACCAACGATGCTGTCTCTTGATCTCGGAGATATTTCGTCAATGATCTGGAAGTACGCCAAAGGATTGAGCGAGGAACACATCAGAGTGCGAAGGGTACACGAACCTGCGTCGCAAACAGGAACGACCGAAGAGACTCGCAGTCCCTATCAATCTCGGCCTCCAGGTCCTTCAAGATGTCGGGATTCCGGATACACGACCGCGCGGCATTGACGTGCTCAGAACGGATGACATCCACTGTGGTATTGAATGAGGGTGGTGCCTCCGTGATCGATGTCATGCCCAAGGACAGCGCAATAGACTCCGACTTTGGTGAAGACTTCCCTGGACTTGCAAACGGTGACTGGTACTGGGTCAATCTTGTGATGTTCGTCGGAGACATGGTCCCTGGGGTTTCTGAGACACTATTCGACCGCTTGAGTGCCTCTCCTGCCGCCCTGAGCAGTAGATTTGTCGTTCCAAGTGCCTTGGTAGATCCTGATCGGGCCGAGCAAACGATCGCGACTTTGTGCTGATCCAGGTACTCACTGGCATGACAAAAGAAGTCCAAAGATGCACACAGACAATGGAGACACGCACTCACGGTATGATGTCCTCCGCGATCTTAGTCGCAAACTTCCCGACGCTTGTCCCACCAAACTTCTGGACCAGCCACTTGGCAGCAGGATCGATGGTGTTTTGGTGCATGTTGGGCGGCGTACCGGGCGCACCAGCAGAAGAAACAGACGATGCACGCGAAGAAGACGCGGACGCGGAAGATGGTGTAGATGCGGCAGACATGGCTGGGGTTCACAAGCTGGTGGATTTGCCCCCGCACGTATAAATGCTTCAGGCTTGGGCTGGCTTGGTATGACTCGATCACCTAAACGCACGACTTCACTCAGCCATGAGATGGCGCATTGTCCGATGTCTACACACCCGTTACGAGTATCTCCGAGGTTGTATTGAGAAGGATGCAGACGGCTTCCAGGAATTCGCTGGTCGCTAGAAGTTCGAAGAAGCGATGGAGGGGGCGGAACGAAATCTTCCGAGGGACGCAAATATGGCTGTCGTCTTATGTAGGCATATAGCAGAAGTTCAGGCTGGATGCATGTTGGCAGAGTAAGCTATAGTCGCAATACGGTAAACAGTACACGTCGACGGCCTGGTTGGATCCCGGAGAGGTCGAGGAGCATCGTAGACCAGCGTAGGCCCAAGAGCTGGCCCAAGTCTTGGACAAGCTCAATCAACTCTCTGGAGTAATTGGGCGTTACACCGGTAAGCAACCTGATCAAGCAAGTAAGAAAGCTGTGTTAGCTGGAGTTAAGGACGTGTAACTGTAGTAACTTACAGACACTGAGACAGTGGACCTCTTCCTCCTGCTCGTTCGTCCAGTCCTTGTACCATCCCACAACTTGCTCCGCAGCGGCCAACATCGAGCATGGCCGAGGCGGCTTTCAAGGACGTTCCGGAGTTATTCGAAGTAAGTGAGTTTGCCAGCAGATACTTCGGCCATTCACGAGTTCTGTTCAGGTTGAACTCGGAGAGTCTCTCGCCGCCCGGACGGAAAGCCTATGTTAGTCCCTGTCTCTTCCGATTTCTCCGCTTCGGTTGACGCCTCCTTCGCAGCAACATTCCGCGAACTTGGACCGCCTGACTTGGTACATGTGCTCAAGAGTTCTGGGCGTAGCGGGCAGCGAGACGTGAGTACCATCCTTCTGGTCAAGGACGTCACCGCCTACCGTGCTTTTACAGCTCGGCTCGTACCACTACGTTTCCGGAGTGGATGCATCCTCCTCTGCATCAT